AAATATCACAGTTATGTTACAATATCCGACTAGGAATAAATAAATCTTAAATATAAATAATGAAAACGAAATTACTTGATTAAAAGCTTCATAACAATACAATAAAACATAAAAAATGGAAACGATAAAACTAATGGTAAACTAATGATAAAATAAATAATAATTATAGTTTTCTTCGCTTTGATGATCGCGTTGGTATACTTGATGCAGGTGCAGAACGTTAAGAATTGTTTTTCGTTGTTGCTAGTGTTAATGTACTACTTGTGGATGAAGATAGTGCAGCTATACGATTCGTTATTATTTGAACTAATGGTTGTAATTGTACTGGTGATGTCGGTGATCATTATGGTTGAACATTAGTTCTTTTTGTTTGTTATTTTTGTTTAGGAATTCTTTCATTAATGAACAATTCAATTTTTTATGTGTTTGTAAAAATTTGACAATTGAAATTTATTATCCTTTTTCGTTAATGAGAAATTTGAACCACATTTACATGTAATTATTGCTTCTAAATATTATGATTATCATGTAACCTTAATGTAAAATCTTCTCCATCCCTTAATTCAAAATCATCTAAACCAGCGTTTTCTTTATTATCTAAACACCACTGTTTAATTAATTTTAATATAAAATCTTTATGTTCATGTATTGTCATTGCTGGTGGCGGTAATGGAGTAACTGAATTAGTTGAAACTAATGCTATTGTTAAAAACGATGATGATGATGATGGTGGAGTGGAATTACTAGCAGCTGTTGCTATGGTTGTTTGTTGTTTTGATTTTAATTTTGTCTCTGTCATTATTTCTTCATTTTTTATCAAAAATAGTTCTTTTAAATATTTAATATTTGCCCTAATATCAGCTTTTAAAAGAAATGAGCCATCAGTTAATGTAAATGATATTTTCTTTTTTAAATTAATTAAATCGGGACAATCGAGATCCATAATACCAAATACATCATCAGTCAATAATAAAGCCCGAGCATTTGCTATTTGTTGCACTTCTAATAATTCATCTTCGGTCTCTCTACAAATATTTTTGACAAAGTCATAAAATTTATTATCGTTAAACGTTAATACATCTACTGGTAACTGACTTGTATTAATGAAGAGTGTAGACATGATTCTTTTGTATAAGTTAAATTTTGTCAAGCTATTAATCAAATGAGAAGATGTTAGACAAACAATAATAAATCGAAGAAGAAAATCAAAGCGGAAAGGTATAAATGAAAAGAAAACAGACTTATGCAATTCTTTTTTGTAGGAAGAAATTAGCTTTTTTAATCTTTGTGTACTTAGAGGAGCACGGTAAAGGAAATAAAGCAAAAGAGAAGTGTTACTTCTCTTTATTAAATACGGAATAAATATAATGATAATGCTTACTTAGTCTTACTGTAAATAGAAATGACTATGAACTGTATTGACACGCTTTTTCTTTCTCTTACAACAGATGGTGATAACAAATATATGAGAGCAATGCGTTTAATGAGTGGATTCTTTGCATCTTTTCCAAATATGAAATTACACGAGCGACCAAAAGCATTTAAAATACATTTACCATCAAAATTGCCGTGGTTTTATCTTCGACGACAACAATTAGTATTATTTCTACAAGATCCTACACATTTAGCTACAAAGTGGAGAAATCGTTTATTATCTTCAACAGCACAACTCATGATGGGTCAACAATTAATTTCCATACAGCATTTGCATGATATTATTGACAGTGATGCATATTCTAAGCTTGATCATGGTCTTGTTCAGACAGATATTAATCCTAAAGACAGACAGAATTATCGTTCTTGTGAAAAAGTGACATCAAACGATTTGTTAAATATTGTTCGTAGTAATCCCAATACATCAGGAACATTTGTTTACCTTCATCTATTAAAATTGTTAATGGTTGCTTATATTGAAAAATCAACAACAATTGCAAAACGGTTGCATTCAGCATGGGTTGTTGTATTTGTTTATCGATTATGGTGGTCATGGCTTAAAAATAAAACATTTGCTAATAAAACAACAAAAAAAAAGAAAACAAAAAAAAGTAGTATAGATAAATATTTTATAACTAAAACAGCATATTTATCAGTTGAAATTAATGCGCACAATTTACTTTACTCAATATTATTAGTACAAAAAATAAAAAAGCCTACCAAAAGAAGCATTAAGTATTTACTCATTTAATTTTCAATCATGTGAATCTATATTTCGTAATACAAGATCGTTGAGTGGTGCTTACTCTACAATTATCAACTTCACAGTTAGTGATTTTTTTCGACGAGCTGAAAAATTGTCGATATTAAATCAAATTAAGTGTGATGAACAATCAAACAATGGTCATCTTTCATTTCCAGTACATCACAAACGTAGAAAAGATTATCATTTATTAACATTACAAGTTGCTGATGATGTTGAACAATTAGATATTGAACAAACTATATTGGATTCATATAGTACATCAATTAAATTGATTGAAGATTTACATATGTCAACTGTTTTAAAACAACATGATATATTTCAATTAGAACAATTAAGTAAATATGTGTTTCATGAATTAAATTCGGCATCGAAAATGTTTGATAATTCAACAGCAAATAATACCAGTGATGATTCTGATTCAGAGTGGGAACCTGAATTAGATGATGGTGATAATAATCACAACGACAGTGACGAAGATAGTGAAGGTCAATCCGATGATAATGAAAGTATCACTACAGCAAAAACAAACTTTTCCGGTATACATATCAAAGATAAGATTAACACTGAATTAAAAAATTCATATTTTAAAATCAAAATTAATAACGCTGATAAATACTTACATAAACAGTCAGCAATCTGGCTATTAACAGACAAAAATTATCGCATACCAACAGATAGGTTATCACGAGTAATTGAAACAAGCAAAAAAGAATAAAAATAATTCATCTTATTTTTTGTTTTCTGTGGAAATATATAGCGTGCTATACATTCTCAGCTCTTATTTTTATGATACAAATAAGAATTAGCACAGTCCAAATATTAGACAACATAAAATTAAAAGTTAAACAGAGTCTCCCAACGACTTGGACTTCCGTGGACTCCTGGAGTCTAGGAGTCCGCCTTTTCCCCTTGGATAAATGAGTTGCTATAAATCGAGCCCAAAACAATATAGCGCAAATTATACTTTCAATATTTTGTAAATAACTTAACCATTTCAAATCCGTTCGACCTGCGCTTTTTTTCAGTGAAGTCTGAATGCAATTTACTGTGCGGCTTGTCCAGCTAACGGTATCCTTTTTTCGCTCTTTTTCAAGATTATTGCAATAAAGCTACAAACTAATCTAAAATTGCAACTACATCATTGAATACATTAAACATTTCTCTACAAAAAACCGTGACGGTTTTTCTGATTTTTCTTTGATTAATATAGATTAGTTAGAATAGTTTCGAGCTTAACAAGCTATCACATCTTGTAGAGCAAACAATTTTCTACAAACTGGTATACTTGTTGAATTTTCGCCTACTCGTCTTCAGTCTTCTAGACACGTTTTTCAGATAGCTCCAAAATCGATTTCGACTGCACAAAAGCCATTTACGATGGGTTTGTAGTAAATTAAATGGAGAATTCACTGAAAAAAATCACTGGTCGGACGGATTTGAAATGACTAACTTATTTACAAAATACTGAAGGTATCATTTATTTGAAGCCATCCGGTAATCCTATAGGACAACATTTGTACTACTATCCATCCCAAAATACAGTGCCGGTGGGCATTTTTTGAATAACTTTTGATAGGAATCAGATAGAGACCTGCGATCTTCACTGTTCAATAGCCAAGACTTGAGCAAAACTTTTCACAAGCGGAAGCAACTTTTGAAAAAATCCCAGGGATCGAGTCTCCAGAGGATCTTTGGAAAACCAGCTCGGTTCTCGGAAAACGAACATACAATGTTAGTAATTGTTTTGCATGCGTAGATAGTCCGGACGTTACTCTACAAAATTATGCAAGTCCCGGCTCTCCAGCTATCGTCGTTCGGGCAGGGCTCGCTTTCCCTCAGCACGCTCAAGGAAATTTTC